ATCGTCCCCGACTCGGTTAAAACCAGAAGTCAGAAGCAAAAAGGTTGGAAAGATATATTTGATGCGTTACCAATATATCGAGAAGCGGTTGATCTATTCTGGCTAGTGAATGTAGGAGATGTTTCCCATGCTGAGTTGTAACGTGATCTGGTACGGATGCATTGCCGAAAGCCTTCAGTTAAACAATTCCACTTAAAACAATGTGGTCAGCATCCAATGTCGAACAATTAAAAAGATATTGATTTTAGAGTTATTTACAACTAGAAGAATAACTGCTCCTGAGATTGATTGAAACTAGTTGTAATGATGAATACAAGAAATTTTATAATTATATGTAAATATTTTAGAACAATACATGAACAACGTAAGTTACAACATACACGTAGAAATTGCTAGGAGCACAACTTTTTACTGAATATTAATAAGTAGTATAAGAATAAACAAATAAGAAAAACAGGAAAGTGGCTTACATCATGTCACAAGGAGTCAAAAATCCAACATATCTACTTATTGGTCATAACAAAAATATACTTACTATTAACTTTCTACTCAGTGTTAAGTTTATTTGGAACTATCCGGTCAGATCTTGGCATTGATACATATAAACAAAAAGAGTTGACGGGAAGAAAGTAGGTATGGAGAACAAAACAAGCTGTACACCGCTTCCCAAAGACAACATCTCTTTTTATTAATATCATTGATTAGATATTTAGTTTGAAGACATTCAGAAACAATAAGGATACAAGTTACTCTAGCCGCAGTCACTCTGGAAATTCATTCTACGCTATACTTCTCAATGACTTGTCAATAATTCTGAAGATTATAACGAAGCTGTGATGTTTGTTATAAAAGCCAAAGTATAACTCTTTATCCAGAGTGATGATCTAGTGTTTTATGTAAACAAGGGATGAGTTTTCGTATGATTAGTGTCATGTACTTTACTTGGTAGCTCATCCATCTGTATGAGGCAGTTGAAATCACATTACTAAGTCTACTGTCATATTCATGCACGCATCAGTATTTTCCTTTTGTTCACATAGTGACCTTGCGTATTTAATTTAAACCATCTCACCAATCCCCTTATTTTTTATATCTAACGAAAATATTAAGTCCTACGAGAAATTATTGAAAACATAGGGCATCCTCGGGGTCATTTCAAGTTGACTCATGAGTTGGTATCTTCGTGGTTTGATGGACGAGTTTTCAGCTGTTAAAATGAAAAGATTCTGATCAATGGATGGTATCCAATGATACTATGTGGCCGAATGATGGCTACTGAAGATCAAATTATTAACGTAAGTCTCTGTATAACTTGAGATAAAAGGCAAGATCTAGTCTGATAAGCCCTGGTGGGTTGGTGTTTGACGAAATCTCGACATGAATTCAGAAAACACTGTTGGCTAATGTCAATTTACGTCGCTTGAGGCGTAGGTGAAATATCCGTCTACCAACTAAGGGATGAGTTGACTGCACAGTGGTTCTGTACATCCTACTTTAAGTCTTCGAAGGATGGCCATTATGAGTAGAGGATATTTGTAGGTTACTAGTATTCGGTCATAGGTGTCTTCGTGTGCTTTAATACAATTGAGTTGGGGATTCTGATGTTAGACGCAGAGTACTGGGTAACGATGGCAAATCAACTGAAGATATGATGAATATTTATCGACTGAGACAATTGGAACACATATAACATATGCCCATCCTCTGACTTCCTCGACGTGCGACGATGTCTGGTGTAGGAATAGGTTGGATGAAAGCTAGGGCAACCAAACCGAGACATGACATCAATCCATGAAGACACTAACTGTTGAACTGAGCCATGTGGGTAGGTGCACTATCTGGTTGAGGTGCACGCAATTATTGTAACGAATGGTTAGAAAATGAGTAACATGACTCAAAATCGTTCATAATGACTCAAGTGCGCTCATTTTTTGTCGCTCCTTAGATCATAAATTTACAATTTCCTTAAGAACTCTTATTTCACTAATTGATATTTTCGTCTGGAATTGTATATTCGATGCCTAACCTTTTCCATTTCGATTAATACTTTTACTAGGTCCTACGCTGCTAATGACTTATTGACTGACGAGCTGTTCCAAAATCGTTTGGAACCAGATACTATAAATTTCGATATAGTTAATTCCAACCATTTGTTAACGGACGTATATAACGTACTTTCTGCAATTTAACAAACAATTTGATTTTAAGTAACCCTGTGACAATTTCTTATGTTGACATTTTGGGATTAATAATTAAAGCATTACTTCTACATTGATGATTTTTACGAAGTTTTAAAACACTATTTATGTGGCATAAATAATTGAATCAACTGTCACGAATTAAACAAAACTAACACATCAGTAAAACTTTCAATTTTATGTAAAATTAAATCAATTAATTTAAACAAACATAAGTTTAAATCATAAATTGTAAATCAACACTCCCTTATATCAACAAAAAATGCCCATAAATGCCCTGGTACGGCCGAGAGTGTGGAGAGTCCGCTCTCCCTCTCCAAATGCTATCACATGGCCACGCGAATATATAGCCTCTGCCAGGGCAGTCCTACACATTGCCTTCTCGTGGTGGGGGTGTTGTTTACGAAATTGAGAGGACGAAAAGCGAATAACCGGCGCTTTAACCGCACCGATTGACACGTTGGGTCCACCTAGGGGAGTTGGAAAACCCTGATTCCAAACCAATGGTGCGCGTGGGCTCCAGAATCCTGAGGGAACAAATGGCATATGAACAAATCGTTGGTCGCCGACTATCATGGGACCGCATCTCCTTACGATGCTCCACTGCCTTGTGGATTAGACCTTTAGGTCAAAGGCTCGGGGTGTGGCCTCTGAAGAAACCCGCCTGCTTCAGTTTGGGCATCTGGGCTGTATCACAGCCCTCACACAAATTGAATGAGATTTGTGAGTCGCATACGTATCTGGTGTTTCCTTGTACCAATATTTATGTGTTTAAATAATAATAAATAATATCAACAAAACCAGTCATAATGAACTTTCATATGAATTGAATGATTTTCACTGAAATTTTTTTAATTTTCACTGAACAAATTATGATTATAATTTGTGAAAGTACGTGATAGATAAATGAGAGACTGTATATTAATAATTTTATGAACAGTTTAATAGAATATAGATCTTTAATGATTTTTGACGGACCGATGTTCTATATTCAACAAATTTAGATAACGGTGTCTCAGAGTGACGTTTTAATATGTTTAGACCGAAAAAAAACGCCGTCGTTCTTAGTTGTTATGATTGGTATAAATGTTTACATTGAATTAGGAAAGATCAATTAATCATTTCGACATTTTAATTTTTTCGCTCATGAAATTACCTTTGATAATGATGAAGTTTCAAGTTTTTTCCATGTCGAAAATATGATTTCTTAAATTTTTTTTAATCGTGAAAATCAATTTTAATTGTTTAGTTGTTAATGCAACCTGAAACAGTTTTAAAGCTTAAGACTATGGAATGGAGCTATAGTTTTAGATAATGGCTCGTAGTGAAATCCAGGATGTGTAACTTTTTTAATTAGTTAAGAGAATGTACCTGCTTTTCAGTGTTCGCAAGTTACAAATGAGACAAAAAACGTTTCCTAGAATTTACTTATTAACACTAATCAGACGTTCGATGAACTTACAAGTGCGGAAAATTTTAGGGAAATTGATAAAGGAACTCTTATGAAAAGAGAGAATAATAAAAGATAGTGTTGTGTATCAATAACGGAGTGAAGGTAAATTGATTGAAAAACAAACAATTTTTGAGTGAACAATTATTTACGATAACTTCATCATCAGGCTCTACAGTTATAAGTCCATAATTATGATGATATTTTACAAAGGCCAAAAATGAGGCATGTATTAATGAATTTGACAATGTTAAAATTTGGTGAACGATTGCATCTGCAATTACGACATATACATACTTCAAGATTGTGTTGTTTGTAAATTAGAAAGGTCATTTAATAAAGGTCAGAATGACTTATGGTTAAGTTTCAAGCCATAAGCAACATATTAGCAATATAGTAAAACGAAATCGTGTGAATAAAACACAGTTGAGGAATTTAGTCTTGTTAGTCGAGGTAATAAAAGAGTTGTTATCAATGTACTTAGAATAGAAAGAATTCATGTGAATTGCGAAAGATGAATGTGAAGATTACTTACTTACACCCGTTATCTTTTATGAAGGAACACATACTGTTCACCAGTATTCTCCATCGCCTGTGTCCTGGTTAACTACGTTTGTAAGTCTTCTATGGTTACCGTCGGTCTCAAGCTCATCATATCACTTCACTCATTACGTAATGTTCAACCAAACACTCGATTTAATTTATGGTTATATTATTATTTATCTCATCCTATATTGTCTATATTCATTTCTGACCATCAGTTTTACTTAACTTATAAACTGGTTCAAGTAGCGATTATATATTAGTCATTTTAACATTAACAATTTTATTTTAGATCAGAGGGGGTTTTGTAGAGAATTTAGTATTTTCACAGTTGAAATCATGAGTCAATTGAAGCTAGACCACCATCGAAAACCTGGAATCAGTGGACGACCGTTTCGTCCTATTATGGGACTCCTCAGCAGTGCGCATCCACGAACCCACTCTCGCGAGAGAGATTAGAACCCAGGACCTACCAGTCTCGAGCCGAAGCCCTTAACCGACAGACCACTGAGCTGGCATCCAACGGTGTTAATGTCTAACTTCAACTGATCAATTGATTTTAATAATTTTCAATCTGTATTAATTAAATCATTAATGAATAAAGAATTTATTGATTTATTTTCTGTGTGTAAATGATACTGGCTATTGCTTTGTTTGTTTTTTTTTTATTAAAAAAAATGTTAATATTTCAATGACGCAACCGATATCTAATCTAACCAATCAAAATGAATATTTCAAAAACAAAAAATCGATTAATCGATTGATAAATTAATAATTAATAAGTGTAACTATTTTTATCAAATAAAATTGATCAGGCAATAAAGTAGACTTACTTTTTTTAATATTACATATTCTTTTGGTTTATATTCAACTGAATTGATTGAAATATTAAACAAAGTGAACTGGATTACAGTTTTTAAAAAAAAAGAAAACAGAATAGAAGTTTACATACGAATTAATTCAATTAATTATGGAATTAATTAATCAAACAAATTTATTATACTTAAAACAGAAAGCTACAAATTCACTAAATATTTTGGATAAAAAATTATCCAAGCTGAATAATCAACCCATAAATGTAAAAGATGAAAGAAAATGGACCATGAAATCCTTGGTAATTATATACAACTAGTATTTATTATGTTGATTTGTTTATGAAGACTGACTGATCTAAATCAAATGCAGTTCTCATCATAAATCGTCTAATTACGCTTTATATTTAATTAATTAAAGTTGGAGAAGTTGATATCATTGCTCTTCGACTTAGTCATCTTGTTTATTACATAACTGAATAGGATAGGAGTTGATTTCATGTAAGATATGTGTGTACACCAATGATAAGTACAAAGCGGTTCTTCATCTATTGTTAATACGCAGCAAAACAATCTTTTCTTTTTTTCTTTTTATCGAAACTTGGTTTCTTATGGGGAAATATGTAAATGTATGAATAACTTTTAATATATAAGATATAAAAATGCATTTGTTTAAAATGATATTCACTTTGCTGTCAGGATTTATATAGAGTAGATCAAATGTTTATTGTCATTAGAAAGGAAAATAATAATTAATTAACATAGTGGATTTATTCACTAAGATGGAATGCACAATCTTCTTGTTCAACTATATGAAAACCAATGTATTCACATATATGATGCTAGTCAGGCTAAATATTTAAAAAAAATAACATTATAACACTGATGACACTTAGTAACAAGCATTGGATATTGTAAATTAAGTGAATTTTAAATAGTAATGATTTGGTTTCAATTCATTGACTGAATGATATTATGTTCATTAAGAAGCCTAAATTCCTCAGTTTCAATATTTTGTATATTTTGTTGTTACTTTAACTATGTTCATTAACCATTAATAAATTCTCTAATTATTGGTAACACACATGAAATTCTCATTCCTTTTCAGTTTACCAATCAGAGAATTTGAAAATCCAGTCAAGTATATCTTATTATTTTATCTAGGGAAAAGTTGTGAACTCATCTATACATATATTGCTAATTTTTTAGAATAAGCTGTAAAGTACCGATTTTTTTGAATGTTCAAGTTACAATTTTTTAAATAATAAAAATCAATAAGAAAAACTGACGACTCGTTTATTTGCTTTGAAGACAGTTTAGAGTTTTTATAACTGATAAATCATAAAATAGTATAAAATTATATTTACTATTATATCCCTTCATAGTATCCAATGTTCATATTGTCTCTTTCTACATTGTTTAAACTTTTGTTTTGTAGCTGATTAAATAAATGGAATTTTAGTGATTGATTTCGTACTAGTTTTGTGTTGCCTTCCTCATTCTCATTTCCACAGTCTATTTTTTTAAATAAATCAATAGAATTAATTTTTGCAATCTTTAAATGCATTGAATTACATAGACCATATAGATTTGTAATGAAATTTTGAGAAAACATTATTGTTTTAGATCTATAACGAATGAATATATTTAAGTCTTAACAAACCTCACACATAGTTGCGAACATTATGGATGATAACACTATAATTTATGGACAACCTATGAGCGCTCCTTGAGTGACCTTGAGAATGGTTACCTATTTACTAGGGTTAAATGAAGGTTGTAAGTTAGCTTGAGAAATTAGGATCAAGATTTACACGTTTGAATTTATGGTCATCAATTGAAGTTGAGGTTTACATCATGAGCTGACATCAGCCATAGTGCCGAAATGCTATTTAGCTTTATTGATGAATGAATTCCGCTCCAAAATTAATAATCTGCTATCTTAAATGTAATGAGTTTGTGCATAAATTATAGTTTCACCGTAATAATTCTTGCTTAATTAATATGAAGTAGTTTTTTCGACTACTACAGAATAGAAATGTTTATATAACATTTTGAAATTAATTCATTCTATTCACACAAACTATGATGGTAATTTTAGTTATAAAATATTTCCTACTTGTACTATTAAGTAGTTAATGGTACTCATAAACATTTTTTTAGCCATAAAATTGATATCAGATGAAAACACTTTACATGCACAAATTGTTTTACATATTATGATTCTTTCTAAAACGAGAAATTTTAAACGTTTGTTGTCAACTTAACTAAAAATCAATTAAAAAAAATGAAAATTAATTCTTAAGATCGAAAAACTTGTCATCAAACTTCAATTATATCAATGAAAAAATATTCTCTTCAATGAATTTCTCATCAGGTTCTTGGAGCTGATTAAGATGAAGTGTTAACATGAATCAGTTTTGTAAGTGAAATAAAATCGTAAGATAAATGATGATCAGAACATATGCATTGTTGATATGGGGGTGAGATAGAGAACAATAGGATTACAAATCAGAAATTACTTAATATGTAGAATAATATGAATTAGGTCAGATATAGTAAATAGGGTGGAATTTTTCAGCGATTATTATCAAACTATTTATCTATCATACTTGATCATTATTTACAGTATGTGAATACTAGTGTTAACTTTGTTTCTTCCAAAAAAAATCTCTGAAAAAACTGTAAGGTATTGATGCATGTAAATACATTTTGAGGCCATTAAGTTGTTTATAAAGGTTAATTCATGTAGAAAGTAGATTTATTCAAAAAATAAGATAATCAGGAAAATCATTGGAAGCAAGGACTCACTAAACAACCATTGCACTCTACATTCACATGATATTTTTTTACTTGAATCACCCGATTGATGTTTGGGACTGTAATTGATCTGTTTCTTATTGGCATATATGTGCATTATGTGCTAACTGTTTCGATATTCTCTTAATTTACAAGCTATATGAGCAAAGATGGATGGTGGATAGCTGTGGAATCCAGTTTGACTCACGTTTCATCATATTTGGGACTAGTCAGCTGGATATGCCTGCATCTCAGAGTTGATGTTCACCTTGTACTGTTCACTTGAAACGCCATCGCGTTATCCAATTAGCTACTGAGTCTTTAAAGCCATTTGCTTGTGCGATAGAGTGAAGTTTAAATTTGTTGAGTCGGCTGCAACAGAGCCTCCAGAGGCTCATAAAGAGCCCTAACCAATCAGCGATTAATTAGAAGCTATGTAACTAAAATAACGAGATCCTAATTGGCTGATTAACACACCGTTACTATGTAAACTCAAGGTCTCTTAATTACTATAAAATCCCTGTATTTTCTGTACATGAATGAACCCTGTAGTAAAGTGCTTCTCTCATACTCGTGTCTTTTCTCTGGTCGTCAAGTCGCTGAATAGTTCTAGCTGGGGGGTAAGGAACTAGCTCAGGGAAGCAAATATAGCGTTCAAAAATGGTCAGACGTAACAAAATTCACTTGATATTGTTTACTTCTAAAGATGGAGTTACTCAACACTATTTGAATCTCTTGGTGAGCTCATCGAATGCAAGCTGTTAAGTTGGAATCATAAAATCTATATTTTCAACTTCAGTTTTATACAAAAATCATTCAGGTGACTTTCAGTCATCTCAAGTAGTTGAACTTCACCAGTCACAATTTCTGAAAACGACTTCTACCACTCTCTTAAAAGTCGTCCATAATTAGGCAACAGTTATTGTTTGATTACATAATTCGGGGAGAGTAGATAAATTTGAAAGTAGTTATTATTCCTGAACCTCAGTTTCATGAGAGTTGATATTTAACAATAAGGTATCCTTCGGAGAAATTTCGTTTTCTGAGCTGGATAGTTCAGTCATGAAGCTTTGATCGTGCTTTTGAACAACATCAGCGCAAAATTCATGCAACAGTAACATACCTAAAGTTTGCTCCGATAACGTTTTACAAAAGAACAATGAAAGCTCTAAAACTAAACCATCCGGATCAGAAAACAAAACTCCACCAAAATCATTCACCTAAGCTACAAAACTTGTCAATCATTTTATTAAGTTGTCTATAATCCTATAGGGAACTGGTGTCCCTTATTTACAATGTAGATGTATTAAATTTTTTCGATTGTTTTCAATCAATGATTTACATTAAAATATGATGCACATGAGATAGAGTCATTTATACTAATGACCGCATTGTAGTTTGATTGATAGAATTCAATCAGCATTATTAGATTTACTTTTCAGTGATCAGTCAGCGTAGGTAAAATTTATTATAAAATTTTTACCATCTAGTTTATCCCAATACTGTACTATGATTTGTTATCTTTAAATTTTATCAGCTAAACTAACCAATCTCATCCTCATTGATGATGTTTGTTATACATTGATGTATTTATTTATGAAATATATCCAATTATTTTTAATTATTTTTATTTATACAATTGTTACTTCATAGAATTAATTTTTTGCATTTCTTCTTCTTCTTGTTGTTGTTGAACATTTAATACATAATTTAGTTAAAAAAATCTAAACCAAAATCGGAATGGGATAAATATTCAATAATTGATCGATCGAATTGGTTCAAATCACAAATGACTGTGAGTTTTTTTTTTGACTGCATATGGTATCATGTTTAAAGGGATTCCTTTTTTTTTCTTTTTTTTTTCATTTAATTATTCAATATTGAATTTGTTACATTAGGGTTATAAAAATTTATTTTGGGTAATTAATTTTTTTTTGTTTATTTTTTAAAAAAAATTCATAAAATGTTTCCTTTTCTTATAAACAGTAAAGTCTATTAGATTGATAAACGAAAAAAAATTTTTTTTATTCGAAGTGGATCGAAAATGTTTCATTTTTTTCCTGGAGTAAAAAAAAATTGTCACCAACTAAAAAAGATGTAGGAAAATGTAAATAAAAAGTAATTTGTATCAAGATAATTTTAAATATTTTATGAATGGTTGACTGAAAAAAAATTTTTTTTCCCAATCATGACTTTAATTAAAATTAATAAAGTTATTGAAAAATCTAGTTTTATTTGGAAATATATTTTTTATTTGAATGAAGCACTTGACAACAAGATACACGGAATCAAGCTGAAGACTTTCAGATTTTATCAACAGTGATATACCTTTGGGTTACTACATTAAAATAACAATCAGATTTGTCCCTATTCATATTGGTCACCAAATGATGATCAGTTAATTTTGAGAAACAAATTTTGATTAATGTAAATTTTCACAAATCCATTTGTGGATGAACCAAATATGGATTATAGAAATTCTATTTGTAAAAGAAGATTTAAAATATTATTTTATTATCTGTGATCAGAAAAATAACACAGTAATGCTGGGGAGTCCCACACTGGGATGAAACGGACTCCCAGTGCTTACAGGTTTTTAATCATGGACTAGCTTAGATATACTTATGAATCCGATCCTTTAAACTATTACAATCCCAACAAATGCCCAATTCTGTTTAACGTAAAATTTTCTATTTTTACTTAATTTCATTTTGTTTGAATGAGGCAAAACATTCTATTAGTTTATCATTTTAGAATATTGTTTGTTCTTGTAAAAGATAATTTATTCCCCATTAATTCTCAGAGTAGCCCAAGTCCTACACGTTATGATATAAAACGACTAGTTGTCGTACATCCGATTACCTATGGTTTCAAGAATACTGGTCGAATGAGACAGTGCTCAATGTTTACCAATGATGGTTTATGGTTGCTTCCCGGTGCCTATAACGTCACTGAAGTAGACGAAAAGTGGGTTGGTTTAATTTTAATAAAATTTTCTATTGTTGTTAAACTATCATTCTTTTTGAAGTCGTTTTAATTGTTAATCTATTTTCAGACGGGTCATCCCAAACGTCTGTTTCTCATCATTTTAATTGCCATCACTGAGCGGCTGGTGTAAAACAAGAAACTTAGTTGATTGAAATTTGTGATACTAGGTTAAAAGTATCTATTTCATAGTTGGATATTCCTATACACCTAATTGACTTGGTACTAGACAGAAAGTGATTGTGACTGCAATGTACTGAACAGTTGTTTATTTCTAGCTCATGACTTCTGATCAATACACATTAACAGGGGAGTGTGTGATTGAATTTGAAGCGTCTAATGCTGTAAAAATACACAGTCCTCCGATCTAGACACTGATATATAAGATCACTATACGCAAGCCTAATTCCCTATGTCAATGAGAAGACTGAGAATGATTTGGAAATGATAACTGGCTAACCGAATATGTGTACACAAACCGTTGATATATATATATTTGTGCGTCACTTCTTTGAATCTATAAGCTAAGAGTTGCATAATCTGCTTCGTCCACCAGCGTTCATTGTTTATCATCTCTCACCTAGTACTCGAAACAGCATTTGAATGCAGGTACATAAATTGTTTGGGTTTGCCCAGCCCGTCGAAGCACTCACCACAAACTTTACAATATTAGTGTTCTTGTAGCAAAGTCTTGAATTAGATTCATTATGAAAAGTGTGACCTTAAAGCAAGTACTCACTAATCCCTTGATTTTAGTGTAATTAGTCAAATGGAGAAGAAAACACTCGTTTAAGAAATGAATTCAGTGTCACATAAAATATCTACTAATCATTGAAATAAATTTATTACGATTTAATGAATATAATTCCTTCCCCTTATTATTATTTATGATATAATGGTGGACGATTGTTATTTGCAACAGGGAAACAGAGATTTATACAACCTAATGTATAAAACTAAAATTGATAGCAGATGAAGATTTTATTCACCCTTCGAAATCATAACGATGATTTAGTAACCAGATAAACTCATATAAAGGTTTTACAGACGTTTGATGATTACTTAATGAATATCATACATGGGATAACGGATAGCTAAGTAATTAGATCTTCTTCAGCTATTCATAATCGAATATGTCTGGTGTCAGCGGGTAACAAAGTTTTAAACAAAAGGTTAATCACAATGCGAATAACTTAGTTGTGATGATATTGGCTAAAGCGAGGGCTTTATGGTGGTTCAACACACATAAAGAAGCATTATTCCCGTCAAGATTACGGGTTTACTTCAATGATAATCAGTAAATATTGAGAATCTCAAACCTTTTAGTTAATTATATTCGAAGAGGTTGTATTGAATCAATATCTCTTCAGATACTTTCCTTTTAAAAGATAATCTTGATTTCTCAAATAAAAAAAATCACTACTACAGAAATTAAGAGAAAAGATAAAAAAGTAAAATGTTATTACAGATGAAGTCGTGACTTGAATTACCTTTCGACAAAAACTATTTCTGTGACATTTCAACATTTCAAAATATCATTTTCTTTAATAAAAAAAAATAATAATAAACCCATTTATCATATAAGTGAAATAAAAACCACAACTATGTATAACCCAGATGAACAAGATCCGATACATATAGATATACATACGTTGGATTTGTTGATCAAAAGTTAGATTTGATAATTTTCCAATAAGTGAATAGCTAGACGAATTCACTTTTTCTTTTTAGATTTGTTTATCCAGATTGTTTATTTATGAATTTGTTTATTTATTTATTTTAAAGATTAAATCAATGTCATAGAACTTATTCATTTAAAAATTTACCTAGAAAATCTAATGATCTACTATTTGGTTTACAAGATAAAGTAAGTTTATTTACAAAATAAAAAATAATTTATATACTACTTATTTAAGACATTAAATAGGAATAATATATTTGTAAAATATCAGCGAATGAATTTTTTAAATTAAATCCAACGTTTCGCCTGGCAATCTGGTCCAAGCTTCTTCAAGGAATTAAGGAATCAAGGAATCTAATTCCTTGAAAAAGCTTGGACCAGATTGCCAGGTGAAACGTTGGATTTAATTTAAAAAATTCATTCGCTGATATTTTACAAATATATTATTCCTATTTAATGTCTTACTTCAACTCGGCGCTCAAATACTGTGAAACTATTTGCTCTGATTTAGACGAGAGTTCTTATATACTACTTATTTAAGTTGTAAATAGTATAAAAATAGAATCAATATCTATTGTCAAAATCAAGCGGTATTTTAGAATTCGTGCACATTTGTTATGATAGTCAATATAATGTACTTCATATAAATATGAGAAGAAAAAAGAAGTGATATTCCAATTTGTACTCAGTCAATTTTGCAATTATATTTTATGATTTATATATATATAATACATTAAGAAAGCCAAGAAGAACTCTATATGTAATTTATTTCTATTGACATATATATGTCGTAAGAAAATGTTTTAATATTGCCCATAGATACAAATTTTATGGCCTTAAATTAAGGATCAAAATTAGTGATTATTATACAAGAACAATCATATCTCATAAAACCTCTGAACAATCACCTTACTAAATTAAAATTCAGGTACTCAATAATGACTAGCTTAAAGATGGATTTCTATCAAATTTTTCGGAAGAAAACCCCTAAAAGTATGGAAAGCTAAGCATTATCCAAGATAGATATGCTCACTACTGTGATGAAACATAAATGTACACATTACCGATCTTCGGATAACCTTATAGTTGATGTCATTTTAATAAGATAAATAAGTAAAATGAAAATATTTAGTTTTTTTTTGAAGATCATCATGGTTTATTAAACTATATGTTTAATATAGGAAATGAGTGCGAGTTGTTCCTAATAGCAATCAAGTGTGTTCTATTTGGTCTCGAGTCAAAGTTGCTCAAAATTAAAGTGGACTTTACTTGATATTGGTTGTATGGTGACAGAAGGGACTCCGTCTATAGTTTGAGCTAGTTAAAACTCTTCACTAAGTTGTTTCACTAATTTTCAAGAGACTAATAGTCCCTACCACAGAGCAATTGTTTGACAACCCTTAATTCTCATATTTTTCTGCCTGTTATTGCAGAAAGTATAAATCAAATAATTTTCATAGAATTAAGGTACTGAATAATCATTTTCAGCATATTATTGAGTTATTTTGTGATGAATCGATCGAGGTTAACTTGTGGAGATCTGATATATGAAGTTAATAAGGTTGGTAAATAGGACAGATACCAGTCATCGTTAATTCAAAATGCTCATGCTGTATTGTAATCTAACTGAGCATATGGAATATGCAATGTGGGGCTTCAATTTAATGTTCGTTAACTATTACATCATTGACGAAACTAAAGGTTTCTGCAATAATACTCTGTGAAGTTGTAACGGCTTAGAAATAAAATATTATATTGAAAAAATGTTGCAAACGATTTCGAGCCACGTCATTCAAGGTCTATAATCACCGGTTGAGATAATCACAAAATCCCCACTAGGTAGTCCACACCTACTTACATGGCTCAGTCTAGATCTCAATGCCTTCACCTCGGCAATTCACTCCATCTGGCTTCGAACACCATGAGGATAGGAGGTAACTTAAAAGCATAGTGGCAAGTCTACGCAGTAATTATGAGACGTCAGTCAGTTGTAGTCTGAACTTGGTACGTAAGTATATCGGTCCAAGTTGTCATACCCCATAACCATGACGAGATGGCATCGTCATAGCTGATCCCACAGTAAAAGAGGGACTTGCAGTTTTACAATAATAGAAAAGATTATGTATCAAAGATATGATTCAAGAAAATATAAATTAGTGAAATCTGAAAAACATCATGAGGAATCTTGAAACATAGGATCTGAAAGACGATTGAAAATAAATACGCCTGAGCCATTATAAACGACTTGAGCCGCGTCACCCAAAGTCTATAACTACCGACTATTATGTCATTTAGTATTTGATGTTTAATATTTTATTACATGTAATAAAAATTATGGTTTGACCCGTACATTTATGACTGACATACGATAATACAACATAGTGTGTAAGGATTAATTTACACAATAATAAACTCTCGGAAAATTAAGATTATCAAAGCAGAAAAAATTATGATCACTTGATAAATGTACTCATCAAGCAAGTATAAACGATATCTTCCCCACACAGCAAGTTGGCAAATACCAATAAAACCCTTTAAATTCGTTCTGAGATTTCTCCAAACACCAGTGCTGATGACACTTCCAAGATAAGTGAGGCGGTCGATACGTCCAAATAATTCACTCCCTATGATTAACTCAGACTCGAACGCAGGCTAATCCTGAGGCAACATTTTGGATTTGGAGGGTTAGAACCGCATCCGAAACATGCTTGCGTTATTACTTAATGTGGTCAGAAGATTGCACTCTGTCAACATCTTCAAACAGAACTATATTATTGGGGTATTCCAAGTCAATAAGTGAATCTCCCGGTAGGACGACTCCTGAAAAGGTAAACAATGAAAGTGTTACTTCTAAAAGCATGTCAACGACAAAGTTGGATAAAAGTGGGAGGAGCAGACGACCCTGATCAACACTTTGAAGTTATCGATTCCGATGATAATTCTTCACAAGCTCTGACTCGACTAGAAATGTTCGAGAAGAGAGACTGCACAAAGTTAATGTACTTCTTTGGGATGTCTTTCAATGACAGACACCGCCACAGAACCTCACGATCATCGTAGTCAAACTCCACCTTAAGGTCAAGAAATATAACTACAGTCGGACGTCGAAAAGTATGTCTATGTTCCAGAACTGGCGAAGGGTGGATTCTTGGTCTATACATACTCGTTTAGGTCTGAAACCAGCTTGGTTTTCTCGGGTTTGAAGATTCTTTTGTGGTTATCACAAGAGGATTTTTGTCCTTTCTTATAAACTGGAGCGGTCAGCGATCGAAACCAGTTTCCAGATTTTAGCTAAGATTTCAGTCAATCTAACCGTTAAAACTGGACCAACATCCATAAAGATCTGAGAGCTTAGTCCATCAGGCTCTGATGCTCTCTCTTAAATCTAACTATCAACAAAATGAAACTCATCACTACACACCAACTTCCTTGACTATGGGAAAACATTTGACAGTGTGTATAGGAGAGATTTATGGAATCTTCTCCGACACCATGGTGTACCTGAGAAGATCGTCAACATTATACGACCTACTGCACTGCAAAGTTGTGCATGGAGGACGGCTCACTAATGCATTCCAAGTAGAGACCTGTGTCAGACAAGGCTGCTTATTTTCGCCTCTTATCTTTCTACCTGTAGTCCGTTGTATTATGAAGACCTATACATCTAAAGGGAAGTACGGAACACAATAGACGGCATGGATGCAACAAGGCGATTTGGACTTCGAAGATGACCTAGCTTTTCTATCCCATACACATCAACAAATATCGGTGTAGACAGCTAGTGCGACAGCAGTCTCTGTATCAGCAGGCTTCAACATGCACAAGGGTAAAGAAAGATATTAAAATACAACACAGCGAGTACCAACCCAATCACATTCGATGAGGAAGATCCGGAAGAGGTTGTAAATTTCACATATCTAGGTAGCATCGTTGACAAACAGGGAGGATCTGATGCAGATGTGAAGGTAAGGATTAGCAAAACAAGGGCAGCATCCCTACAACTGAAGAACATATGGAACTCAAAACAATTGTCAACCAACACCAACATCAGAATTTTCAATACAAATGTCAAGACAGCTCTACTGTATGGGGTGGAAACTTGAGAAACTACTACAACCATCGCCAACAGTGTAAGTATTTAAAACAATTGTCTAGACAAAATACTCAATGTTCGTTGGCCGGATACCATTAGCAAAAACCTACTGTGAGAGCAAGCCACCTTCCAGCTGGGCAGGAAATCAGGAAATAATCACTGGAGATGGATTCGACATACATTATGGAAGTCAACAAACTGCAGTATGAAGCAACTACAAATTCGGAATCATCAAATTTAAAGGGAATAGGTGGACCAAAGAACACGTTGTGTTGGTAATTGGAGGCAGGCATAAAAGGAATGAATGACACCCGGCAACGACTGAAGAGGTCAGGGCAGAGTGCATTGGAGATTTCAAGCCGCTAAATCACAGGAAGTTACAAAACCACTTCATAATTGCATACAGCATACTAAGGACTTCCGGCCAGTCAAATAAAAGTCTCACCACAAACTCAATTTCGCCCTACGCCAGACAACTTACGAAATGTATATCAGAGAGCTAATACGGAAACAGAACCAGTTTTAATAGTAACGGCGCTTAACTTAAATGCCCTCTTATCCTGCATGGTCACAGCCACCTCAGTGGTCAACAACCACGTAATCACCACAGATCACCGTCTTTTGCTTGGAACAGCCGCAACTGATACGTCTCTTGCTCCTGAATACTATCGTGACTACCCCTATCATGATTAGGGTTATGCTTGTTATTATTTGCTCGTGTCTGCTAGGCCCACTTGTCCCCCATATCAAATGTTATACTTAGACTCTTGCTTATTCACACTATTTGTGCAAACTACTCTTTCACACGTCATAAAATTTATCTTCTGATTGTTCCTGTACATTCTAAATTCCGATTTGGTAACCCTTTATGTAGCAAAGAATTAACCACCTTTCCGTCAGTCTGATTGCTGCAGGTTGAAGCCCTACTCTAATGGAACAAATGCAACCAGATATACACAAGAAATATCAACCCCTAAATAACTATTGGATTTACTAGTGTAATGGATTCGAGGTCTTATCCTACTGAACCCCAGATTCGCATTTCAGTGTTTTGATTTCATGCTGGTGTTTTTGCTAATTGTTGTCTATTGCTTTTATTATTAAATATAAGTTCATCCTATGCACTGACAGTCTTAGGCGCACTTTATCACTTGCTGATTTCTCGAATTTCTTCAGTCTTCAAGAGAACCACTGTGTGTTTGGGTGTTATCAGGCAAAAGGAGGTTGGATGGCTTGCTATAAAATTCGACTTGAACTTCTTTCGGGATGCCGGCTAGTGAGAGCGTAGGCAGAGATGTCGAGAACGCATTTACTCAGACTGTGCATAAGCGACTGCCTATTGAAATTCAGTCAAGCAGAGACTGTCCTGCATTTGAAGTTGATACTATACCCGCGCCACTTACGCTACGAGAAGTGGCAGTGAAATCTCCAGATACAAGGAGGGAAAATTGCACTGGTTTTCTCCGTTGACTAAGTGAAATTAAGTGAATGAGCATACTTGGATCCCACATGCGTGTTTCCTAAATGTAGCATATATTGATGGCACTGTTCTCTGGAGTCCTAGTTAAAAAAAAACCATTGATTTGCTTGGCATGTGGTTCGAACTTCGAGAGCTACAATATGTAGTTAAGAGCGTAGTTTTAGTGGACCAGGAATGGTGTTTCATGAACTCATATCATTTGCATTGGTGGCGCGTGATGATAAGGACATCTGAGAAGGGTTAGTCTTGGGGATGGGAGAATTAATAATGTGTGAGGGAAATTTTTGATAGTGAACAAGATGACTTATGGTGCTGTTAGCGATGTGAGGGCGGTTGTTACATACAGGTTGTTCATACTATAGAAGGTTATTTATTTTTGAGGGGCCTGAAAAAGAAGCTGAATTAGTGGTGGTTTTAACGACCTGGGAGCGTGACTGCAGAGCCCAAGGGTTGACTGCTTGAGGCCGGTGGCGCACGGCCGTTCTATGATAAGTTTTAGATGTGTTAGCTCTGCACTTTCAAAGGAGTGTTGTGAGGTGCAACATTTTTAGGGTTGACTTTTTCTAACCCCTTCCTCTCGTTGTCATAATGCAGCATCACTGAAGATGCTGGTTGTCTGAGCGAAACACCTTACTACTATTACATCTCTCTACAGTTAGAATTACGAATTCCTGCTCAGACCTTAATTTTCTGCTTTCTATCTTACTGTTATCTGACCGACCTTCCTGGTATGGTAGGACTAAATGTACATGTGTCCCAGACAATATAGCCTAATTCAATCATCATGATAAACAAGTCCTTCTACTACGTAAGGGTAGCAGATGCGGTCGGAAAATGTCTAACAAAAATAAGAATTAGTTACAGTGTTTTGTTAACAGATCTTTGAGTCGATTCGGTGTTTTGTAATCTTAATCCGCAATAAATCTGAGAATTAAGAAACAAGTTATACTATTAAATTGAATAATTTGTTGCTAAACCACTATAAAATAATCTCTTTATGATGTTAGATTGGAAACGGTAAATAATGTCTTTGAGAAATTACAATAAGTTGAATGCACCTTATGAAATAATTAATATCTGAAAACCTTACTCTATTCGGTGCACAGTTCCTTTACTTATATAAATGACTATACCGTAAACATAACTTTGTGCGTAACTTTATGTGTGATCAACAATAGTAAGATGAAAATGTAATTACAAATCTTCAACTAGTTTAGATATTTTCACAATCATTACAATAAACTGACGTTAGTTTAATAGTCTTTGGAAATCAGGGAGTACTGGACAGGTGCCTCGACCTAACATGATACTCATTAGCAGTGCACACCTACGACCATACTGGATCGTACTGAGAACTCTCTAGTTTACCACAGACCGCTTGAACTCTAGATAAACAAGTCTTTATCCGATGATTTACATTTGTAACCTCAATCAGTTAATATTACTTCAAATCAAGAAATATTTATAATGCTTATTTCATATGATATTTTTATCCCAATTACAGAATTTGTGTTTAGCTCCAGGCCAATATAACCCTTATGGTGATGAGTGGATTAAAAAAACTCAATTACCTACCTATCACAGTGTATTTAAATCAAAATATTCCAGATCTGTTTCAAGTCAAAAGCAAGTTAGTCGAAAAAACACTAACAAAAAGTTTTCCTTGTATGAAGTTACATTTTTTTTAATCAAAATAACTAGATATCATCTATAAGTTATAATTAAATTGATTGAGAAATGATGGGTTTAATACAAATGCACTATTAGTATCTTTTCAAAAGTGTAGCACTTCAATGCCAAAATGGTTGACTCTTGTCAGCAATGCATATTAAAAATCTGAAGGAAAGAGATCTTTCCAGTGATTCAAATCCGTATCATCTAATGATGATCTACCGGGATGCTGAATACCTGTGTTGTTGCGTCAGAGGACTGAATTGTGCTGTTCAGATTGTAATGCTAAAGCCTGAATAGATTATCTGGTTCTCCCGAAAACTGATTTAAAATTATCCTAGTTTAAAAGGGTATATTATATAATTTTGAATATTGTTACACTCATATATACACTGACTGGTAACTGAGTGGTAATCTATATCATATTTGTTTAGTCATTAATGGAGATTTGGTCCTATCAATAAAAAATGTAATATAGTTGGTAGTTCGAGTGAGTACATAGTACATGTCTTACGTCTCAATGTGAGGTAGTGCCCTGAACGCTTCACACATGTATTACTTATCTGTCGACCTATCTACAAGACAACTTGCCAGTCCCCTTTAATTATTTCATGGTCATATAGATAAGTAACGACCTTTAATCAGGTGTCTTCTGTCGTAATTAAGTTTTAAGATGAAAAGAGATAGTTGTACTTTAGAAATAATAATTGGTAAAACATCAAAGCTATTATGGAACAGGTAAATTATGACTAATATCGGGATTCAGAATTGATCAGAAATTCAATCGACTATCAACAACAGAATGTTCAAAATCTTCACTAATATTGATATAAATATGATACCCGTTGTACAAGGTAAGGGCTACTTGAACTTAGTAGCTTAGTGAATAACACGTTTAGTGTTTAAAGAAAAAGGTAATCGATTTGGATTTCAGGGTAAACATCAACACTGAAATTCAGGTAAATCAATTCAATGAATCTCCTGGATCCTACCGCTGACCACATTCCATCAATCCATCTACTTGAAACAACTTTACATTCAACATAAAAATATACGATAAGCTTAAATTGTTTCAATGAATTTTCATTCTTTGATCCAAAACACTTTTTGAAAGTGTAGTGGGTTTGCATACTTGTAAATTGATCAGAAAGTTCTGATTTATAATTTTATCAAACGTTAAAATGTTAGTATCGATGATAAGTACAATGTGTATGGAAACGTTTAACGAATTCAACGAAGTGATGTAGATTATTTTTTCCTATGTGACGTTTTAAATGAAATGAAAAAAGTGGAGTTCTACCAGGTCTGTTGTAGAGATATCATCTCACTGAAGACAGTTGGTGAACGGTTGCTCAAACATCGTGGATTGGTTGAAGTTATACATTAACACCATTGGATGCTGGCTCAGTGGTCTATCGGTTAAGGGCTTCGGCTCTAGACTGGTAGGTCCTGGGTTCGAATCTCGCGGGTGCGGGATCACGGATGCGCACTGCTGAGGAGTCCCATAATAGGACGAAACGGCCGTCCAGGTTTTCCATAGTGGTCAACTGTTTTATATTTTTTTTATATTAGATACATTTCCATCAATATTTTACCTTCTTTAATGTTAAAATTCACAGAAACACACAGTGGTTTTTTTGCAATCATCTACAGTTATATAACGTTTAGTATAAAGAGTAACAGAGACTAATGATTATCTTATCCCATAGTTAATGACAAGAAAACAATATTGCTAAGATGTAGAATCATTCTTGGTAAATAGATATTATCCAACAATCATCTGAATAAATTAAGATAGAAATGTTTGACATATTTCACAAGTATGAATACGTACAAGAAACAGTAAACTTACATAATGAATTTACAACTTCAATTTTTTTTTTAAAATCCAATAAAATTTATTGTTTCCAGTATCTATGAAAAGCAACGGTGAATATGTTCAACAGTGATTTTCTCGAAAATCATTCAAATTTTAAAAGACTATATCTTTATCTTGGAATAATTTTAAACATTTCAACAATATGTAGATTATCGAATTAGTGATCTTCATAATTCTGTGAAAGAACAGAACTTGTAAATGATATCTTCAACGACTGATGTTAATATAATGTTTAAAAATTTTGGGGAAGAATGGATTCAAAGACAAGCCAACAACAAGATTATGAGATATCAACTCTCCGTTCTATACACAGTTAGACTATTATGTCAGATAAATAGTCGGACATTTCCAATAATTTATATGGCTTTGTTAATCAGTGTGAAATCAAATATCGGAAAAACAGATAAAGCACTTTGATGTAAATCATGAATCATTCTAAGTTGAACCACTACTGAAGCTTGAAAGTACTGGACGACCGTTTCTCCCCAGTATCAGAGACTTTAGCAACACACACACCCACGAACGCAAATGCGGTAATCTAATACAGGACCTACCTTAAAAAATATTATAGGTCGGAAGAAACTGCAATATATTCAACTAATTAGGCTTCTGACCATTTGGAAGATATGAGTCATTGACCAGAATTCTTCATCCTCTATTATTCTGTGATCTCTATAGTTGTTTCCATGCGTTGCTCATTCTTTTGGTGCCTGTCCCTAAATCTCAACTCCAGGTGTTCTTTGGTCTAACTCCTTTGCTTTTGCTTTGAGGATTCAAAGTTAGACTCACCTTTTCATGCAGTTTGATGATTTATGTAAAGTGTGGCTTACTCATCTTCAGTATCTTTTATGATTTCTTCCTAATTTGGAAGCTGCTTTGTTCTCCACCATAGTAGATTGTTGCTGATGCTGTCTATCCACTAGACCAGGAGTATCTTGCATAGACAACTGTTTAGAAATACCAATAACTTTTTGATGATAGTTGTAGTAGTTCTTCAAGTTTCAGCTCCGTACAGTAGAATCGTCTTGATGTTTGTATTTAAAATACTGACTTTGGTGTTGATTGACAGTTCTCTTGAGTTCCAGACACTCTTCATTTTTAGGAATACTGACCTTGGCTTGCCAATCCTTGTATTTCCGTCTTTATCAAACCCTCCTTGATCATCGATGATGCTGTCCAAATACATGAAACTTTTAATCTATTCCAGAGTTTCTCCATCATGTGTGATTTATTTGGTGCTTTCCGAGTTGTGTTTGAGGATCTTGCTTTTTCCCTTGTGTAAATTGAGATATACTGCTGCAGAGACTGCTGCTACACTGATTGTCTCCACTTGCATTTGTTCATGTATATAGGATAGAAGGGTCAGGTCGTCTGCGAAGTACAAATTGTCTAGCTGAGTTCAACATTTCCACTGTATTCCATGCTACCCCTTCTATACCGTCATGATGACTTATGCTACTCTCTAATCTTTTGGTACTTGTTCTTTTCCTTAAATCTTTCTGAATAAAACGTGAAGCATTTTGCAGTTACTTCTATTATTGACTTTAGTGCTTCAGCTGATTTCCTGTTTTTATCTTCTGCTTCGCCATTCTTGGTTTGCATGATGGTCCTATTGATTTCTGTGGTTGTTGATGCGGTAACGTATAGAACAAGGTCTGTATATGCTCTCTTAATGTCCGTTAGATTCATTGGAGCTGGTTTATTTAATATTCCTGGTTAGCAGGGGGCGATAAGCGTAGTTTAGCAAGTAAGTGTACGTCCAAATATATTCTAGGCTCTATCTTTGTCTGGCCATCACGACAGATATTGTCCCTAATATTTGGCTTCAAGACGGATTTCCTAGAGTTCTAATGGGAAGCAGTGACTACTGAAGTTCTATCCTTATCGGGTTTGAGACAAGTATCTACCTCAGACAATGGACGAACGGTTGCGCGAGATCATGGATCGACTGGAATTAGATACTAACACCGCTCGATGCCGACTCAGTGGCCTAGGGGTTAAGCCGAAGGTCTTGGGTCCGAGTCCGGTATGTGGGATCGTGGGTGCATACTTCTGAAGAGTCCCATACCAGAACGAGACGACCGTCTAGTGCTTACAGGTTTTCAATGGTGGTCTAGCTTACATCGACTGATGAATTCAACTATTTAAAATTACTACAATCTTCACAACCCCCCATTCTAATGAGATATTATTCTGTCGATCGTGAAACTTTTTCCATTTAAAGTAGGTAGTATTCTGTTTCATTCGACTAATCGAAAATCGTCTACTTTCTAAACTCATTTTACTAAAAGTAAACTTCTAGTCCAGGACTATTATTAGTGGCAAACAGTAAAATTTAGGAACTACTGAACACTATATACATAATGCATCCTATAATACAAATTTTGAATTTTTTTTCTGAAGCTTAAGATAAACAATTAAGCTTCAGAACTATCAGAACCGGTTTCAATACAATTGATAATTTTCCGAAGTCCCCGATTTCTTACACGTCTAAAGCCATATTTCAGTTCATGAACATCATTACAGTTATGAAGAGTCACCAACTCTATAAATGAATATTCAAGACAATAGAATTAACATTAAAACACGAAGTTCAGCTAAGGGATCTCTTTTCAACGAATTTATAATCAAGCTGTACAATCGTATATATATATTGCTTTTATGAAGCAAGGTACATCGGCCGTAGCCGATGAACACAAATAACCAAGATTATAATACTAGATTACGTAATACTAATAATAACAATAGACTTAGTGAATATAATAAGATGATTAAAGTCAATAAAATATTTTGATTACAATAATTAAAGGTCATTAAAGGTCATAGAGGTGTAAAAATAAATAAGGTGATATGATGAGTATTCATCAATAAGATAATGAGAATATAAGAAAGGGGAAATGCAGTAATAATAATAAAAGAATGATAATAATAATAATATTAAGGCCATGGTAACGATAATGATAAGATGTACTTCTTTTGTACGCATAGCTCATGGATGATAAGAGCTTCGGCTATTTTCAGTAGTTTGATACGAAGAAATCTAGGTAGATTTGAATGACATAAACAACCTTAAAATCAGACTGTGAATCCGTACAATGATTACAGTCGATTAGATGTTCAAGTATAGAACTACTAACTGCTTTCTTTTCACCCTTGTAGAACAAAACTGGGATATGTTCTCGTATCCGAGTTGAAAGCGAACGCTGGCTACGGCCGATGTACCTTGCTCCACAAGAGCAATATATATATACGATTGCACAGCTTGATAATAAATTCGTTGAAAAGAGATCCCTTCGCTGAACTTCGTATTTAATATTAGTGTTTTAATGGGAATTATATGCCAATCGAAGAATTAACATTAAAAGATCATGAATATTTTGTTAGTTATGTTCCCGTATTTTTAAACTGAATTGTACTTGTTATCTGATAATACCAACAGAATGTCTTAATCAGAAAGTAGATCATTATGTAAATTGGATATCCAGTGATTATAAACATGTTTAGTGGAAAATAATAGTTATAAAGTCAGGTTTTTCTTAAAAATATGTTGTACTTAATTTTTGTATTGAAACCTACCCAACTTTTCAATCCTGCAAATTTACCTTCAGCTTTAGAAACACCAAGTGGTTTTTTGAGTGTATCCCATCTTCTCTTTTTCTAACACCTTACGTGGATCTTTCGAATTTCTCATCGATGTTTTTGTGACGTATTTGGTTCTCTATAGTTAGGTCCGGCCAGACCCACGTACGCTTTGTTTTTGCATTTGCGGGCGAATGTAGTGCCACCTATAACCATTTTATTAAATGCACATATATTTGCAAATCTCTTCCCATTCTCGTTCCTTTCTTCTGGTCCGTTTCGTCTTTTGATATCTTCATACCGGGTGTTATCTATTCCAGTGATTGTGTTTAGGTCTCCTATCAAGATTGTCGGATCCTCTCCTAAACAACTTTCTACTATTGATTGCAGCCTCATGAAATTAATCTTTCTCGTCTTCACTGCCATAATTTATGAGTGCATATAATACTGGATAACATTCATTGCAGTCTAAATTCACTTAGTATTGTTTGTTTGAATCTTCCCATCGATTTGTTAGGACTGCAACTGGTCAGTCTCTAATTAACATATGTGCATACTGTGCGTATTGCCTCGATATAACCTAAATTCACAAACATGGTAAGCAGAGATGGATAGTGGCTAGCAGTGGAATCCAGGACGCGCGTTTCGTCCTACTTGGGACTCGTCAGCTGGATGTACCTGCATCTCAGAGTTGATGTTCATTCTGGGACTGGAACCTAGTACCTTTCGCTTCAAACGCGCGTCCTGGATTCTACTGCTAGCCACTATCCATCTTTGCTTATTCAGTGTAGTCCTTTCTTTGTTTTGAGGGATGCTTTGATGATTCCGGATCCATGAGATTAGCACCCAACATATACTTTACGTGCTTCTTTGGATAGCAGCATTGCAACTCCTTGCGTGTGAGACTCTTTTAATTTTAAACAGCTATTTAACAAAACCTCCAGAAATACGTTTCCAATAACGTTATGAAAAATAATGTGATTACTTTTTTAAGTCTTGGATGTTGTTTTCAGACAGTTTCTTTTAATTTCAGACTGGCTTTTATTAGTTATTTAGTGAAGCTTTAGAAATTATAAAACTAACGGCTAGTGTTTTACTCTTGTCCAAGATATTTGAGTTTCGCAATGATGTATAATACCATGACATAACCTAATTTAAACTTAATTAGGACTCAGTAGCCAGGTGGATAACGCGGTGGTATTTGAAGCAAACAGAACGGGGTTCGAGTCCTGGGGTGAACACCAACTCTGAAATGCAGTCACATCCAACTGACGAGTCTCAAATAGGATGAAACGCGTGTCGAACTGGATTCTACTGCTAGCCACTATTCATCTTTCTCAATAAAGCTTGTAACTTAAGGCAATATCAAAGCAGTCTGCACAGGATGCGTATATATGCCAATAAGAGACTGATCAATTGCATTCCTAAACAACAATAGGAAGATACAAGTAAAAAAACACCAGGTGAATTTAATTAGTACATAGTTTTAAATACAGTTAATTCATGATTCCTCCACAATCTCATTCGATCTGTGTGAGGGCTGTGATACTGCCCAGGTGCCCAGACTGAAGCAGGTGGTTTTCTTAAGGGGTCACACCCGGAGCCTTTGACCTGAAGGTCTAGTCCACAAGGCAGTGGAGCATCGTGAGGAGATGCAGTCCCATGGTAGCCGGTGATCAATGATTGATTCGTACGCCATTTGTTCCCTCAGGATACTGGAGCCCATGTGCACCATTGGTTTGGAATGAGGGTTTTCCAACTCCCCGTAGGTAGACACTCTACATCCACCAACCCGGTTAGAGAGCCGGGCATTCGCTTTTCGTCCTCTCACTTTTGTGAATAACACCCCCGCCACGAGAAGGCAGTGAGTAGGACTTCCCTGTCAGAGGCTATATATTCGCGTGGCCATATGAGAGCATTTCGAGAGAAAGAAAGCAGACTCTCCTCACTCTCGGCCGTACCAGGGCATTTGGGGGCAATGGATAGTGGTTAGCAGTGGAATCCAGGACGCGCGCTTCGTTCTATTTGAGACTCGTTAGCTGGATGTACCCGCATCTCAGAGTTGATGTTCACTCTGGGACTCGAACACAGTACCTTTCATATCAAACGCCATTGCGTTATCCACTCGGCCACAGCCTAGTCTGGTCTAGATGACTTGATTGAGTTGCTGCGGTGGGTTGTGCTCGAGTCGTGGCTTAATGTCATCATTTCATATCATTTAACAATAATTTAAATGAGATAATATCTTATTCATGTAATGTGAGTAAAACTAATTTCATAAATCATACCTCATAATCATAAGGGTTTGTTGTAATTCAACATGCAATCAACATTATTTAATTTTGTTTATATTTCTATGAAGAACAAAAAGAAACAGATTTGTTTTAATCACTAATTGAATTCAAACATATAAACTTGATATCAATCTTTTTTCTATTTTTAAGGAAAATCATTTTATACTTTTACAATTTATTCAATATTAAAAATTATTTATCATTTTGTTACTATGGTCTAACACCTAAACAGGTGTAAGTTTAAATTTGTTACTATGACATTAGGATACACACTTATTTATCATAGTTATAACTGATTTCAAGCATTTTACATAAATCCAATTGTATATAATGAATTAAATAACAGTTAATAATTACCATGGATAGTTGAGACTGTTTGAAAAATTAAAAATATTTCACTTATACACTTAGTATTGTTTGTTTGGATCTTCCCATCGATGTGTTTAGGACTGCAACTGGTTAGTCTCTAATTGGCATATGTGCATACTGTGCGTATTGCCTCGATATACCTTAATTCACAAGAATGGTAAGCAGAGATGGATAGTGGCTAGCAGTGGAATCCAGGACGCGCGTTTCGTCCTATTTGGGACTCGTCAGCTGGATGTACCTGTATCTCAGGGTTGATGTTCACTCTGGGACTCGAACCCAGTACCCTCGCTTCAAACGCCATCGCGTTATCCATCTCTGCTTACCATGCTTGTGAATTAAGGTATATCGAGGCAATACGCACAGTATACACATATGCCAATTAGAGACTGACCAGTTACAGTCCGAAACACATCGATGGGAAGATCCAAACAAACAATTCTAAGTGAATTCAAACTTCACCCCATCGCACAAGCAAGTGGCTATCAGGACTCAGTGGCCGAGTGGATAATGCGATGGCGTTTGAAGCGAGGGTACTGGGTTCGAGTCCCAGAGTGAACATCAACTCTGAGATGCAGGTACATCCAGCTGACGAGTCCCAAATAGGACGAAACGCGCGTCCAGGATTCCACTGCTAGCCACTATCCATCTCTGCTTATTTCACTTATAGTTGAGTGTTTAAATTATGACTAATTTCTATGATAAAAGCATCGAATATGAAATGATGTATATAGTTGAAATATTCAATGAATTAAATTTTGACATTTTTTTCCAGTTTAAATATGTTTACATTGTAGCATAATATCAATCAGAGAACAGATAAGAATCAGGGAACTATTGAATAATTGTACTTTTTTAGTTCTAGTGTCATTACAACGATACATACTCGTGATATCATATTGAATTGATATTTGAATATTGAAATCATACAACACTTATGATATACCTGGTAATCGGAATCCCATTAGGATGATCCAAATTTTCTGATTCCACATGTAAAGTCTAAAAATACGATAAAATATCTTCTTGTTCTTCAGTTTTCAACAGTTTTACAACTGTAATTAATTTATTTGTAAAGTGGATTTCATGTAAAATATATTTCACAGATTTAACTTAGGAATTTAATATAGACTAAAAAGTTACTTATTAAATTCAATTCATCCCGCTTGGCAAATTCACATTGAAGCTTTTATAAGCCTTTTTATGACTCAACTCTTAGTTCTTCTAAATGTATTACTAAGAATATTAAATGCTTATTTAATGATTAAACTTGATATTGGTCAACTACATAGCTCAAATTATCTCCAACATGTTAGTATGAGTTCAAAATTGATAGGATTACCGAGTTCTAATGAATCTCTAGCATCCTGAATTGTAAATATATTTACTCCATTGATAATAGTCAAGGATTTCGGTCCAGGTAGTGAAAATCAGCGCAATGATGTTGTGCAGTTCTGTTGGGTGCTCATAAGCACACTTGATAGATGGAATTTTTTCACTCAATCCTCACTAATTTCAATGATCAAATAGCTTTATTTAACCTTGTTCAACTACTCAAAATGAGCTTTTTCACCATAGCAGAATAGTTACATACTCATTCCAGTTTGAATAGTTGAAGGAAAATAAGATTCTAATTGTCATATATTCTTCGTTTTATTTTCTTTTTCAGGATAATGTACCCCCACCAGGCGCTTACAATTTGTCATTTAAAGGAACGTTTGGAATAATGTCTCCATTTGTTTCACAAGTACCTAGATTTAAACGTTCAAAATCGGTAGGTATTAGTTGTTTTAAAAATGAAATCACCCATGATATACATAGATATCAATGTTAGAAGAATTAAAATATTTTTGAATCAGTTGTTTATATGTTTATTTTTGATTGTGTATACATGAATATCAAGCGAATACTGAGCTGGAAGCACACAAATTAAGGCAACTAGTTGTTCACAAACACCTGGAAAGATGGCAAAACAAATACTACCTAATATCATAAACGGTGAACGCTTTGGGACCGATCGCTATTCTCTTGTCCAGTGGACGTGTAGTTGGTATTTTAAGGAGTAAGTACAAGGATTCAGCACCATGGTGAAAATGAACATTTGAATTGAAATGCAAGTATTTGATTGCATAAACAGGTACTGATGTACTCATTCATTAGTTAGCTAAAAACACTCATCTTGATTGTATAGTGGTGGCTACTGTTGTCATAAATCTCTGATGTTAGGCGAGTTTGTTTTTTGTAAATGTGAGCGTACTTTACTACTAAATTTCAAAATATGAAGATTTCATCAAAGCTCTGTTTTTATTTAAATCTATCGGTAGGTTCATCCATTTCACACATGAGTGTATACGTTATTATGATTCCATCTCCTATTTCTACCCAATGTACGAAATCATTGGGCACATTTTGTTATCAATGGATCCTATCATTATAAGATATTATGTTATTCGTGTCAAGAAAGTAACCGGCTATTATTTTAAGTAATGACAAACAATTTTTTTAGATAATGACCTGACAATTATTCTACCGTTTTACAAGAATTAGTTAATTTACCATTTTATTACCGTGCATTTAAAAATAAATTTCAGTTTGTCCCAGGTCCTGGTACATATGATATCGGTGGAGCAACATAACATATTGAACAACTAAGTAAAATGAGTACATATTATGGATTATTCTTTGGTGACTATGGTGTTGATGATGACACGACAAATAGATGAAAACATTATGAAAATGCTCTTTTGAGTATAAATTTTAATGATTTTCGATTCAATAAAATTTTACTGAATGTTTGTGATTTGTTTTTAAAACTCTGGTTAAGTAAGAGAAATATTGCTTGTGAAGATACGACCAGTATTGTAGTTTGATAACTCTTTACCAGTAACACCTTCTATAATCGAATCGTCCCCCACTCGGTTAAAATCAGAAGTCAGAAGCGAAGAGGTTGGAAAGATATATTTGATGCGTTATCAATATATCGAGAAGCGACTGTTCTAATTTGGCTAGTGAACATAGGAGATGTTTTCCATGCTGAGTTGTAACGTGATCTAGTGCGGATGCATGACCAAACACCTTCAGCTAAACAAGTCCACTTAAAATAATGTGGTCAATATCCAATGTCGAACACTTAAAAAGTTATTGATTTTGGGGAATTATTTACAGCTACAGGTCACTCCCCTCCAAGTGAGGTTGTGATGACCCTAAGACGTGACCAGCCAGAAGTTTAAACCCAACGAGTTTGTAGTTGGTAAACACTCTTTTGATAGCTTGCTATGTTTAGCAGCGTCTGGTCGTCTTTCCTTACACTAAGGGACCATGAAGTACAACATAGTAATCAGGAAACAAAGTACAATGAAAATTTTGGTTCTGTATAGACTTCATCGTTCTTTTCCAGCCGTCCTGGAAAAGTAAAAAGTAGCTTGTGAGTGCATGTCGAAATACATTCGTACTTGCGTACGGACATAAGGTGAGCGGAAAAGAAAAGTAAATAAACTAATACGCTTGCGACAGCGTAAAAGCGATTGAAAAAATTGTTTTTTTAATATATAAAAAATGGTACGCTTATTAGTAAAGAAAATTGTTATTTTTCTGGATTAAAAATACATAAATGAGCATAATAATTTTTTTATCATAAACAATGCAAAGGAAAATTCGAGATAAAGTTTGTGTCCTACGTGAAATAGTCGTTTAAATGTTCTGGAAATCTTACTCTTCTTCCACAACGCGTCATCTTAAGTTTATTTTCCGACGTTGACGAAGTATCATCATGTGTGTCGGCTGTCGTGTGGGGTACTACAAGTGTTGGAGCCATGTCGTTCGATTGTACTGAAGGAAAATCGATGTAGATAGGGTTTCCTTCTAAGTACGCTGCTTTGAGGCGATCGATACTGATGCTATCGTTCGTACCGTTCTTATCGACTACATAGTACTTGGGTTCACGTTGAAGAACTTTGAAGGGTCCTTCGTATGCTGATTCGAGGTGCGTCGATGTGAGTCTTGACGAACGAAGACATGTGTACTATGTCGTAAGTCAGGTTGAACGAAAACATCAGTTGATTGTGGTCGAATGTAAGCAGGTTTAACTGAACGCATTGCGTTTGTAAGCCTGCTCGTGTAGGAGTTCAGATCCAAGTTCAATGAAGAAGCCGAAGGATCCACGAATTCTCCTGGAAGTCGGGGTGTCGTTCCATAAACGAGTTGAGATGCAGTGTATCCAATTGCAGCCTCCACTGCATTGCAGATACATAGTAAGACTAGCGGAAGAGCGTCTGTCCACTGTGAAACGTTTGTAGCTGATAGTGAAGCTTTAAGTTGTCGATGAAAACGTTCTACCAACCCATTTGCTTGTGGATGGTAGGCAGTCGTTCGGAAGCGAGTGATTCCTAATAGTGAGGTCAGACAACGGAAGAGTCCATATTCGAACTCACGTCCGCGGTCTGCAGTGATGATTGAAGGGCAGCCGAAGTTTACTACCCATCGTTCGACGAAAGCGCGAGACACTGTTTTAGCAGTAATATCACTAATAGGTACTGCTTCTGGCCATCGAGTGAAACAGTCTACGCAGGTTAAGAGATATGAGTATCCATTTGAATCTGGTAAGGGTCCTACCAAATCCAGATGAACGTGGTCGAAACGAGCATCGAGGGTTTTGAAAGAGCCTAAGGGACACTTGTTGTGTCTAATGACCTTAGATTTCTGGCAGCTTACACAGGAGCGTGCCCACTCCCTCACGTCTTTATTCATGCCAGGCCAGCAAAACCGTTCTGCTATAAGCTTGATGTATGCACGAACAACTGGATGAGAAAGATTGTGCAACGTATTGAAGACGTTGCGTCGACAAAGTTTTGGTACGATTGGACGATCCCTACCTGTAGATGTGTCACATAGTAAGGTTTCCTCACCTGTACGCTGTTTTAGAGTTGCCGAGGATAACTCATGCTGAAGATTAATGTCTTCTTTTTGAAGCTGGGAGAGTTTAAGAAGGTCGATTCCTTGGAAACTGTTTAAGGAAATTACACGAGACAAAGCGTTTACAACTACATTGTTTGCTCCATAAATGTGTTGTATATCTGAAGTAAACTGCGAAATGTAGTCCAGTTGTCGAGACTCTCTAAGTGAGTACTTGTCTGAAGATGAACTTAAAGAGAAGCTAGAGGTTTATGATTTGTAAAAGGCGTGAATTCTCGTCCTTCGATGGAATGTTGGAAATGCCGTACAGCACAATACATAGCTAGGAGTTCCCTACCGAACGTGTTGTACCTCGATTCAGCGTCTGGCAACCGTCTCGAGAAAAATCCTAAAGGTTGCCAAGAGTGGTTAACCCATTGTTGTAAGACTCCTCCGATTGCTGAGTCGGATGCGTCTACGGCCATACTAATGGCTGCTTGAGTGTCCTGATGTGCGAGCAGGGTTGCCTTGGCGATATGTTCCTTAATTGTGGAGAATGCTTTTCGAACGTTGTCGTCTAGATTAATTGATTTCGCATTTCCACGAAGTTGGTCGGTTAACGGTTTCATAAGGGATGCGCAATTCGGTATGAGCCGTCTGTAGAAACTTACAAGGCCGTTGAAAGTGCGCAAATGTTTAATCGTGGTCGGTTTTGGGTAATCCAGAATGGCCGCCACTTTGCTTCTAAGAGGTCGGATGCCTTGAGCATCAATAGTGTGTTCTAAGAAGTCTAAGGACTTGGTTCCTATTTGGCATTTCTGAATGTTCACCGTAATGCCATGCCTTTGAAGTCGTTCGAAAACAATGTCCAGATGCTTGAGATGTGATTCTCTGTCCGGACTTGCTATCAAGCAGTCACCAAATTACGCATGTACGAAGTTGAGACCTCGGAAAACGTCATCCATGAACCTTTGGAAGGTTTGAGCAGCATTCCTTAAATCGCATTCGCAAAAATTCGTAGAGGCCGAAACGAGTTATTATAGCGGTTTTAGGAATGTCGTCAGTAGCCATAGAGATTCGGTTATAAGCTTTAACCAAGTCAATTACAGAAAAGACAGTTGTACATTTCAGGGTAGCTGTCAAATAGTGAATATGGGCAACGGGTAACGATCGGGAATGGCATTAGCATTCAGACGCCGACGATCACCAGTTGGACGCCAATCATTGCCGTCCTTTTTAGGGACCATGTGCAAGGGAGATGACCATGGGCTATTTGACGATTGAATTATTCCTAAGTCTATCATGTGGTCAAATTCGTTTTCAGCTAACCTAAGCTTTTCGGGAGCCAGTCGGTATGCTTTTGAGAATACAGGTGGTCCTGTAGTCGAGATGTGATGTGTAACATTGCTGGTTACACACGACTATTTCGGTTGTGGTTGATATATCTCGGAGTATTTATCGAGTAATGGTTGATATAATGGATCTATGGCATGCTTGATTGTGACTGGAGATAATCTGCAACCAGAAAAAGAAGTTACATAAACAGATAACTTAGCGTTTCCGTCTATTAACCTTCGTTTGCGTGTGTCGATGAGTAGATTGTGGTATTGTAGCAGGTTTATACCAATGATTGGCATAGAAACATCTGCAACCACGAAAAGCCAGTGAATGGGTTTGCGTAAACCCACGTTAAGTTAGACGTGCCTTTTACCATACGTGGCGATCGGTTTTCCGTTTGCCGCCTGTAAGCTTAAAACGGACCCATGAAGCCTGTCGTTAGAATTCGCGGGAAGAATGTTAAATTCTGCGCCAGTGTTGACGAATTGGAGAACTTTCGTAGTCATATTCGTGACGTAAAACAGGCGGCTATGTTCGCCGGCTATGGTTGCCGTTAACGCGTGCCGGCTGGGAGTTTCCCGAACTGTTTTTCCTGTCATTCGTTTTTGAGGTCGGATAATTGCAGGATTTTCTGCAATTTCTAGAAGACTTGCCATACTGGTTACGAGAGATCAGTACCAATTCACTTTTGCAACTTTGTTTACATCTAAGTGTTTCTTCAACACTGATTATTACTGGTAAACCGGAGTATAAGAATAATTTACACATAAAGAACCAATCGAAAATAGAATAAAGGTACAATCAATTAGAGACTTTTTATTTAGACTTTGTTCATTATTTTTTATGAGTTGGAAATCAAAGTTGCCCAGAAAGTCTTTCTATAAGAACTTTTCTACTCTTCAACAGTATAGAAACTGAATATCATGTGGAATTAAATTTTGAGGTCAAATCATAGTCCTAATGTTTACATTTTCAACTTCAGTTGGTTCACATTAAAGTGAGATGGTCATCATTTATCACTAACAGTGACTGTTTTAGCTCTGATGTACCTCGACTTCATCGCCCATAGCTTATCACTAGAAATCGGGGAATACCAACCTCAAGTTCGATATTGGTGAGTATTAAAAAACCAATTAAGTCGTTTAAATGCTAAGTTTTCGTCGCAAGACCTGAATATTTACAGTCCAACCACAGATGAAGCACTGAGTGTTCACAGTTGAGGTGTCTCATACTAATAAGAACAAACTATCTGCCGAGCCTTAAATTTTGGTAACTGATCATCCACTTGGGTTTGGATTAAAAATTGGTAGATATTTTCATCTTGTTCAGTTTACTGAGATAACGGAGCACTGTTGATTGAAGAAATATGAACACGTAAAATTAAAGAAGGATAAATATAGTTCAGCAAAGGAAGTTTTCTTTTCGAAAATTTCATTTACTGTACAATCGCATTTATAAACCGGACATTCCAATAAGACCAACAAGACTACACAAAAACGCCTACATATGTATTATATGAGCAGCGTATAAAGACCACTTCAACACAGCTTACATAATATAATTGAAG